TCTTATTACTATCAAAATGAAAGTGCAAAACGAAAACTTTACCATAAGAAAATATTGGCATACAAATATAATCACTTCTCTAAAAGGTAACTAATTTTAAATATAGTTAGACATATTAAAGGTAATTTACAATAATAATAATAATAATAATAATATTAATATTAGTAATAAGCTTTATATTTGTATAGCACCTTTTATACAAGAATTGTAGCCAAACTGGCTTCACAGCAGTTCAATAGACAGATTAGTATAACATGACAGGATAAAAGCAATGTAGAGGAGCAGCTACATTTCAACAAATATATCCACTAAGATTAATACATGAAGACTTGTGACTCGGACTTGACTTGGACTCTTCTTAGGTGACTCGGACTCGAACACAGGTAATGATGACTCGGACTTGGACTCTCCTTGGGTCACTCGGACTTGGACTCGGACTCGAAAATTGGGGACTCGAGAGTAACTTGGACTCGTGAATTGGTGACTTGACTACAACACTGATTTGTGCAGATCTCCAGCCTTGACTCCTACAGGCCAAGTGGTTAAGGCCAGGCAAAGGGTATTTTTCATGAACTCATCAATTTTGATATTTTAGCCTTTTTTCCATCCATAACACATCATCTTTTAACGTAGAAAATGCACATTTAGTTTTTTAATTTGCTAAATGTGTCTATCTACGTGTGTAGATGTATCTTTAATTCACCAAAGTAAAGCATTAGATGAGGTTAACAACTGGGAGAGTTTTGTGGTCATATCTTTTCATTCCTTTTTTTAAAACATTTATTTTACCCTATTCACCTGTAGTTTCTTGCAAAATGTACGGAATGTCACATTATATATCTTTAAAGGCGGTTTTCTAGAAATTAGTTTTTTTATACTTTAAGCCAGTGATTCTCAAACTTTTTTCAGTAATGTTCCCCCTTTGAAAAAAAAATTCAGCCAAGTACCCCCTGATCAGCGCAACAACTATTTGTTAGGGACAAAATGCCTATATAAAGAGGTACAGTACAGCGCTGCACCATCAGTGTCTGATTTATTAAAACAACAACATTGTAACTGAGAAACACTTAAATGCTACATTTCAAATGTTTACAATCCATCACTAAATTCATGGCAAACCAATTTTAACATCATGCAATAACACTAAGATGACATTAGTTGCATTGAACTCATCTTTTTAATAAGTTGTACTTACAATGTAGTGAGAAACATGGGCTTGTGCTTCACTGAGGATCTTTGTCATTCTGACAGGGAGACAACTGCAGTTATTACACTTCACGTTTTGAAATATATGTAACTCTGTTCATATAAAACCCACACTGCTCAAACTTTGTTACTTTTCCTAAAATTGGTATATTTTTTTTTCGATTTTTTTTTTTTTTTCATTAACATAAAATAAATTTCACGTACCCCCTGCAGTACTCCAACGTACCCCTAGGGGTCCGCGTACCCCCATTTGAGAACCACTGCTTTAAGCCATAAATCTCCAGTTAAATAGCTCTCTATAGTTTACTTTTTTGTTTTTTGAACTGAGAGCATAGTTTACACGGGGGCAGACCCAGGACCAGGTGGGAAAACAGGTCAAACATTTTTTTTTAAATAGCTGTAGGGAGGGACATTACCGACTGTATGATACCGCTTCTTTGCCTTTCTGTGTATTTTTTTGCATCTAACGACTGGATTGGATCTTTTGGTCTGAGGAGAGCATAGGCAGTTCTTCCCTGAACCTGAGGAGGGCACTGGGGGGTCAGACTGCTGCTCTCTGGTACCTCAGCTGCCTTTAAAAGAAATAACTTGAGTTGTGTGAGCTCTGCATGGGGGACATGATAGTAGATTGAGGTGTTCCTGAATGTAATCACACACTCACCCGTAAAGATAATGAGCAAGGGGAGGCAGAGACAACATAAGCTGCATATATTACACTTAGTATGTGCAAGATTAAATGAGCTGAGAAGAAAGAAAGAAAAGATATGCTCTGAAACACAAGAGAGAAAGAAGGAAACAGCACACAGGAGGGAACGTCTATTCAAGGTTAATGAGCAGGCTTCCTCTTCCTCATGAATTATTCACTTCAGCTACCTGTAAGCATTGTGCTGCCACCACATTAACTGATAAAGTAAGAGTAACACATGTACAAACCGGTACAAACAAGCGAGTGAAAAAGCTAATGGTAAAAACAAACAGCACACCAGATTAACGGCAGTGTTTCTTCTGAAGGCCCCCTCCACCTGAGTGTGCTATTTTTCAACCTCAGCCGAATCATTAAATGCTCTCTGTTCCCCCTAGAGCCAAGGGTGAAGTATGTGTGACTTACTGAAGCATAACCTTTTATCAGTAAGGAACCAGACCTTGAAAATGCTTGAAAGTTTGCAGATAACAGTAAGAAAAGTGTTGAAAGAGGATGGATTACGCAGATAATGATGATGAAATATAATATCCAAATTCAGCTGTTCGCTCAAACTCTCCACATACTGCGCAAACTTGGTTTTCATTCGTATTTGAGCAAATTTGCAATCAATTTAGAATCAATGATTACATGAGTTCAACCTATCAAAAGTAACTTCCCATGTTTCAACTGTGTTCACCAAAATTAAACAAGAAAAGTAAGAAAACAAGACCAAGATTCTACAGTGACGCTAGCAGCTAACACCTAGCTAACACCACACTGTCAAAGTACTCTGTCGGGTATAGTCCTGCATTATATAAGTCAAAGTATGTAGTTTCTTCAAAGGTAAAAGTACTCAGTTCATAATAATATACCCTATGACTGTTATATAGCATATAGATAGCTTAATTCCATTAACAGTAAGTCTTGAGTGGAAGTAGGCTATAAAGTGGCAAGAAAATAAAATGCCCAAGTAAAGTACAGGAATCTAGTAGTATTTGTTCTGAAGTAGGCCTACATAATTTAATACTTTCCTGTCTTAACGTTACCATTCTTAAATTAAAAATCCTATCTGATATTTGGCATGGTTAACCAGGTGCATTGGGTGTCAGCATGCTAACTGACACAAAGTATAAGGACATAATATTGCTGAAAATGTATTGTAAACCTCAGCATTAGACACATTATGGTGTGGAACAACTGACATTGTACGTTTACTAAAGTTAAACGTTAACTCGTTAAAAGTGGTGCTGCCTCGATATAGCTTTCAGCCATCTGAAAGCCATTGCATGTGTTCATTCCACATCAGTCAACGTTAAGAAGAAGCACCTTTGGCAGCACAAACAGCCTTGAGTTTATGTGGATAAAGCTTTTCTCTTCCTTAGAAAACTTCCCAAGCATTGTCAGGGTGAATTGGAGTTGTGATTGAACACAAATGGATTGGAATGAAGTCTTGGACAGTTGTGTTGTTTTGTAAGCATTCCTGTGTAGATGTTGTTCGTCTAGTTTGAAAATAAATGTATTTTCAGCAAGTTTTAGTTGAGGATTTGTTGCAAAGAAACATCTACTGTGTCGCTGTCTGCTGCCAGACTTCATGGTGCTGATGGAGTATTTAAGCTCTCCAGGATGATTTCCACAAACTTTCGTTTTGACTTACCAGACACAATAGCCCAGATATCATGTCTGAGCCTGAAGTTATTTTTTCACTTTTATAACTGACCTTATTGCAGATTGCTTATTGTCGCAGATATGACAGGAAAAAGTCAGGAGACTGACCGTGCTGCAGGTGTATTTATGTGTGTCATTTGACTTTTTTTCACCAGTCTTGACTTTGATTGAAGGGAGTGAACTAAGGCTGCACAATTGTAAATTATTGAAACTTTTTGGATATAGCATTATTATTATATAAACTATTTTGGTACTGTCACGACCTACAAATGGTTTTCTAAAGATTTAAAGAGGCCCTATTCTGCAGATTTTCATGTTCATATTTGTATGTAGTGCCTCTACTGTGACATGTCTCCATGCTTTAATGTTCAAAAAGCTTTTTATTTTTCTCATACTGCCTGTGCTGCAGCACCTCTTTTCACCCTCTGTCTGAAACCAGAGCCCAGTCTGCTCTGATTGGTTAGCATTTCAGGCCAGGGGGGGAGACCATTTACATGCACACATTCCTATATAACATACTATAGGAAAGGCAATAGCCAAAAAGCATACTAGGGACTCTTGAAATCAAACATTTAACTAATATGAGAATATTATTGAAGAATTGATCATTCCCAGATCACAATAGGAGTACAATTCACAATAAGTTATTTCTTTCGTGCAGCCACTGCATGAATAATTTATTTTGTGTTTTCTACAAGACTTAATTTAAAACTAATTGCAAGGATTGGGATTGACATTGAAAAGTATTTTTTGTCCAACCTAGTTAGAGAAACCCAAATTACATCAACTATGAATCAATGTCATATAACAATGAGATATGAAAAAGATTTGTTTGTCTTTAATGTCTTAAAAGTATCAGATAATTTGGATGCACTGCATTATGTGCCTTATACCTCTGTTTCTGCCCCACTTGCAGACGCTATATCCCAAAGTACAGACTCCACAACACAATGAAAGAAATGCAGTAGAGCCAGAACCTTGAGGTAATGCTAAGGGCACATGCAGAATATGACTCTGACTATGCATGCCGCATATTGAGTCTGGGATTTAGAGAAATCTCTTTGGATATTAGACTGTTGCACAGCATCCTGAGGCTCAGAGTAGGAGGCGCAGGAGTTTTATAAAAAGCACAGTATGTGTATATCAGGCTATAATACCGATGCAATATCATACGGATTGGGTAGACAGCATGGGGAATTACAGATGTTTTTAACTTTGAAAGGATAATGAAGAAAAGTCAACTCAAAGGTTCACTGAAAAGTTTTTGTGTGTGTGTAACCAAAGAATACTGACTCAATGCATGACCAGTGAGGGGAATATTTGAGGTAGCACGAAATAAAGTGAAAAACAGTAAGGTCCTGACACTGAAAGTGGACCACATTAAATATTTACAGTGATAATGGTTATGGTGCTGCACTCTGCACTTGTGAAATGTGTTGAGACTTACTGAAAGCAGTCTCTCTGAGTGGAGACGTTCTTCAGGTACTGCTTCAGAGCCTCACAGAAGTCGCCCAGCTTCTTCTGGGTCACCACCATCTCCGTACGGATCAGCAGCAAGGACTGCAGAGGAAGAAGGACATGGAGGTCAATTCATGCTGACATTTAATTAGTATGAAGCCATTGTGTTTGTGACAAGCAGACCGATACAATACAGTAAATACAAACATATATGAGGTTCTGTATGAAACAATTAAGATTCAGCTGACTTAATCATTGCTTTTTTTTGTCTTTATTGGCTGACATTTGCTTTTTTTCTTTTTTTTTTAGGTTTTATTTAGTGTTTCTTTATTGTCTTTAACTCAGGGGTCTCCAACACTTCGATCGCGAGCTACCAGTAGCGGTTCACAGACTGTGTTCAAAGAATCCAAGGACAATAAATGCACATCTTCCCACTTCAATTTAATCGAACACATAAGCCCTTTCTCATTTCCCAGTTTGCGCCTCCTCGGTTCCTTGCGTCTTAGTCTCGCCCACAGGAGATGCGAGTCGAGGAGGGGGAACCGAGGAGAGATAAGTGAAGCAACAGGCATTTGGAAACATTTGAAATCCTCTCCTCGGAGTGGTCATTTTAAAGCGACGTCCATTAATGATGACAGGAGGTACAGTGACATCATCTGTCCAATGGTTTGATAAACCGCTGTATTTGATCAACTCTGCCTGATTGGCATAACAGTGTTTATTGCTTACAGTATATATTTACTATAATTCCATTCACAATGTGGTATAATGAGACAATAACAGGCTACAGATTCGAACAGGGGCCGGTATGATTTGACTGAGGGAGAAATATTTTTCACAACATGAGATGAACGGATTTAATTATGGAATATCCTGTAGACATGCTAAATAATGACATAAATATAGGATTTCAGATTCAATCTATTATCAAAGCATTAATAGATGCTTATAGAAGACGTAGTATAAAGTCCACAGATGGAGATGGGGTAGATCTTTGACCTGAAGATATTTGGTTTATATTCCCTGATGCAGTGTCACTCTCTGTCCTGCTAAATGTGGCTCCTCCCACTAATCAGGTGTGCTGTTCCCCACAGGTGTAAGGGGGCTTGGCCTGGGAAACAAAGTAAGAGGAAATTGATTGGAAGAGATTTGTCTGTTTGGAGACAGAGCCGGTAAGTTTGATTCCTTACTTGATGTTCTTTCTTCTTTTTGCCATGCATTGTTTTTAATGTATTGACTTTTTGATTGACATTAGGCTTATCACTTTTGACTATTAAGTCGCATTAGGAAGACTTTTTTTATAGTTGGAAAATTCTTGTGGACTAGGAATTGGACATTTCCCCAGTTACTGTTGTATGTGCTTGTGTTAAGGGCAGAGTTATCTCGTAATAAATTGTCATTGATTTGCCACTAAAAAAAATTCTAGTAGAAAATAATTCCTAAATTGGGGTTAATAAAGTACATCTTATCTTATCTTATCTTATCTTTTCCCTGGTTGGTTTGATTGGTTTACTTCCAATTTATAGGACCCAAATGGGTGGATCCAAAACTCTGAACTTGCACTAGAGGGAATGCTGTTTGTGTCCCTTCAGTAAAATCTCCCTTATTTTAACTTTTGTTACGCTATTTGCGTACCATCCGACACATGTATACACAAACTCGCTCGGATCTGTCATTAGCTCGCATGGTTTTTCATACCATTGCTACGCTGACGACACTCAATTAATTTGGTCTTTTCCCCGCTCAGAGACCCAGGTTGTCACACGCATCTCTGCTTGTCTAGCGGACATCTCTCAGTGGATGTCTGCTCACCACCTCAAGCTCAACCTTGACAAGACTACACTGCTTTTTCTTCCGGGAAAAGATTGTCCCACTCTTGACCTAACAATCAACATCGGCCCCTCTGTTGTTTCTCCGACTCAGACTGCAAGGAATCTGGGTCTGACCCTAGATAACAAACTGTCCTTCACTGCAAACATCGCTGCAACAACCCGCTGCTGCAGATACACTCTTTACAACATCAGAAGGATACGTCCACACCTGACCCAGAAAGCGACGCAGCTTCTGGTCCAGGCTCTCGTCATCTCTCGCCTAGACTACTGCAACTCCCTCCTGGCTGGTCTACCTGCATGTGCCATCCGACCTCTGCAGCTCATCCAGAATGCAGCGGCTCGTCTGGTCTTCAACCTTCCTACATTTTCCCACACCACACCGCTCCTCCGCTCACTTCACTGGCTTCCAGTAACTGCTAGAATCCACTTCAAGACACTCATACTTGTGTACCATGCTGTGAATGGTTCTGGCCCTTCCTACATCCAGGACATGGTTAAACCATACACCCCAGCACGTGCACTCCGCTCTGCATCAGTCAAACGGCTCGCTGCACCCTCACTGTGAGGGGGACCCAAGTTCCCATCAGCAAAAACACGTCGGTTTGCTATCCTGGCTCCAAAATGGTGGAATGAGCTCCCCATTAGGCGCGTTCACACCGCAGGACTTTTCCCTGTACTTTTCCCCGTACTTTTCCCGTTTAGTTCCGTTAGCACCCCTTATGTCGCGTTCACACCAAAAAGAGTACTGAGCGCCGGGAACTTTCCCCCCCATTTTTAGCGCCTGCTATCCTGGGGAGAAAAAAGTACCACATTTCTGATTGGCTGGGCGAATTGCAAACCACACCCCGTGAAACTCTGAACACTTTTTTGAAGCGGCCATTGTATTTGCTGGCAGTAGCGTCATTAGCATTAGCCCCGCGCACAAACGGAGAGAGAATAACTTATGGCAACACAAAATAAAACATGGGAGCGGTGGAGATGAGGAGGTGTCGGCGTTCTGGCGATTTACTCGGAAGGCTTCAGTAGAAGCTGCTGGGAGTCCCAGCAGCTTCTACTGAAGCCAGTCCCCAACTCCGGGGACTTCCGGCCGGGGACTTGGGGTGGCAGTATACGCCGTGAAGTTGTTTGCGGCCTGCCAGTAAACCCAAAGCAGAAGAAGACGAAGTGACGTCAGCGGCTCATTTGCGTAATCTTCCCTCAGGGTAAAGTACTTCGGTGTGAACGCGATTGGTACTTAATGCCCTGGGGTTATTTATTGCTGGAGCGCTAAGCGCTGGCGCTAAGTACGGCAAAGTACTTGGTGTGAACGCGGCTATTGACTTCAGGACAGCAGATAGCCTACACATCTTCCGGCGCAGACTGAAAACTCATCTCTTTCGACTCCACTTCGAGCAATAAAAAAATAAATAAAACCCTTATATACTAACTAAGCATTTATATACTAACAAAGCACTTATATAACAACAGGACTGGCTTATCTAAAGCCAGTTGAGTAGCACTTAAAATGGTTTGGCTCTATGAAACTTGATGTACTTATATGATTCTGTTTTCTTCAAGTTTGTATCTTCTTGGTCGAATGCACTTATTGTAAGTCGCTTTGGATAAAAGCGTCAGCTAAATGCAATGTAATAATGTAATGTATAAGTAGTTTTGCTGCCTTAAAAGGTTGTTGCTGGAAATTAGTAGTGGAACGCATGAAAAACAACTCTGCATAAAATGTTAGCGTTCTGCCGTTAGCATTGAAGTGAAGATCACTTTCTGTTGCTCTGGGTTCCACTGCAGCTTTATGATAGCATCTGCATCTACCAGGGGCTTGCAACTTCAAATCATTTTTTAATCTGAAGCTCAAGTGGTGCATCCCCTACAGCTACAAACAATTTGTCTGATGCTTCATTGAAAAGGGAGTGTGTGGGTGTGTGGGGCAGGGTGTTCACAGTTGCTGTCTTGGCAGGTAAAAGCTAAAAATGCATTATCTCACACAGCCTATAGAAATGTTTTTACCCAGTGTCTAAGACTAAGAACATGTATCTTAACTCCCTTCCTATGGCCTAGTATATAACAGAAGCTTCAGCAAGTTAAAGTTGTGTGTAGCTGCATTTGTGTGTCTGTTGAATTAGTTAAACTGACAGTGTACATGTGTAGCCTTGAGGATGATTTTCAATTATTTGTATAAATCCCACTTGTAACAAGAAAAACCAAAGAAGTGCTGCTGCGCTGGTTTTGATCTGATAAGATTAGCTGCTTTCTTCAGCTTTTTATGTGCCTTTGTTACTGTAGCTCGATACAGTACAATTAAAAATTCATCCACTCTGACCTAGATAACTCCAGCAGTGTCTCACTGAGACTTCACAATACACATTCACTCACACTCACACAGACACTCCAATATCACATGTACACACGTGATGTGTAAATAAAGGTTTCCATCTTCAGATAATTCTGATTAATGAATTTATAAAGAGCCAGAGCTTTCCTGCAGTTGACTTTTAAAGGTTACGACTTAAATACTTTCCCTTGACCTGCCATGTCTTCTTCTTCCCTGATAGTTATTTGCAACATTACCAGTAATGACTTGCGAGTCCTTGGGAGGCCTTCAGCTGTGAAATACCTTTGGAGTTCCTGGCTATTTTTTAAGTGGGTTTTTTGAGTCTTATCAGTAGTCAGTTGCAGTCCATCCAGAGTTGTGTATTCTTTACACTAAATAAGACATTTGGCTGCGAGTCAGTCATCTCATCACAGATTTGAAAATACTTAAGCCATGTTTTTTTTGTTGCATGGTAGGGCACAACTCTACTCAGCTTGGTACGACTGTTTTAGTTTTCAATCAGTCAATCAGTTGTGAATAGGGGCCTGGTATATTTTTTAGATACTGCAGAGACCGGAGTGGTTAGAAAGGATTGTCAACCTCCCATCGTCAAGGGCAGTTAGTACTGGCCATCTCTGTGTTTTGGACAATCAAAGAACTGCCGGTAGTCCAGGGCGGCTGACGGCTGGCACGTATTAATACATTTATTTTTCCATTAATTTAACATCATCCTTTGAGTTTCACACTCAGAGCACACAGCGCTAATGCAAACATTTGGTACTTACTCGCCAAGTAATGATATATTCAAAAGAATTATCAGTGTGCAAAAAAGCACACGTCCCACCGCCCGGGACGTGTTATTTACAATGTCGGACAAGTAGATCTTTCAATTGACTTGTCCAGCGGACAAGTGACGTTTTTAGCCCTCATTTATTGACAAATTATTGATAAACTCAGTTTACAAA